GTCGCGTCCGTGACCCCCAGCCGCATGCTCCGCCTCCACACCACTGACTCGCCCAAGTTCCTCGGGCTCCCGGGGAAGGTGTGGCCGGCAGTGGGCGGTCAGAGCAAGGCGGGCGACGGGATAGTGGTGGGGATTGTTGATTCCGGCATCTGGCCTGAGCACCCCTCTTTCAGCGATGCAGGGATGAGCTCGAAACTCCCGTCCGGGTGGAAGGGCAAATGCGAGCAGTCCAGCTCGTTCCGGTGCAACAACAAGGTGATCGGCGCCCGGGCTTTCTACGCCGCGTTCGGCTCACCCTCGCTGCAAAACGACTGGCTCTCGCCGCGCGACAGCAGCGGCCACGGCACGTGGTGCGCAGGCGCGGCAGCGGGCAACCCCGTGAGCATGCAGGGCGGCGGGCAGATGAGCGGCATGGTGCCTGCAGCGCGCCTCGCGGTGTACAAGGTCTCATGGACTGACAGGAACGGACGCGGTGGTCTCAGCAACGGAGCAGACGTCACGGCGGCCATTAATCAGGCGGTGGCGGACGGTGTGGATGTTCTTTCCCTCTCTCTAGGAGGCTTGGGTGCCAACCAAGACTATTTCGGCGACCTCGTGTACTTGAGGGCCAATGCTGCGGGGGTGTTTGTGGCCATGTCCGCGGGCAACAGTGGAGCCACCGGGCGGTCGCAGGGAGGGATTTACCGCACGGTGGCCAATTTCTCTCCCTTCATCCTCAGCGTTGGCGCCAGGTGAGCCGCTGCCGCTGCTGTCGTAGTTTCCACTGACCGACTCTGACTCGTGTAGCGCAACGTTCTAGCAGTTCCTGCCTACATGTGTTGGCTCGAAACATCATTATGATCACCAGACATGCTCGTAACTTTGACTGTGTGATCATCATCACACGGCATGGATGCATCGTGGCCATCCCCCTTCAGCCGCGTTGCTGTTGCCAGCCATGGCACCATGTACCACTGCTGCTGCTGCATGATGTGCATGACTCAACCTGCCTCTTTCTTTTCCAATCCGCCCTCCCTGCTTCTTTCCCAATCCGCCCTCCATGCTTCTCCTTCTCCTGCAGCACCATCGCAAGAGGAGCGTCCTTAGCTGCAGCCCGCACCACCAACATCGCCAGCGCCACTGGAAGCACCAACAGCAGCAACAGCACGGGCGACAGCAGCGCCACACTCACTGCCGACGGGGGAATCACCTTCACTGCCGCCTCCTCCGACCCCAGGGTCGCTGACATTTCCTCCCGTGGGCCGCTCTTACCGCCCAATGCCACAGCCCGCCCCCTGCTGCCAGCTAACGACATTCTCAAGCCGGATATTATCGGGCCTGGCGTTGACCTTGTAGCCGCTGCTCCCTCCAAGAAAATCGGCGAGCCGGGCACGACCGCCCGCCGCACGGGTACTTCCATGTCCACCCCGCATTTGGCGGGGCTAGCCGCGATAATCATCCAGAAATACCCTGACTGGAGCCCGGCTCAGGTCATGTCAGCACTGATGACGACCGCACGGGTGACTGACATGAGCAACAGCCCTATTAAGACTGAATTCTCGGGTGTGGAGGCAACCCCGTGGGAGATGGGCGCAGGGCATGTGTTCCCGCCTGCCATGCTTGACCCTGGTCTAACATACGACGTTCGAGAGAAAGACTACCAGAATTTTCTTGCCGGCCAGGACCTGAACCGCGCGAAAAAGGAGTTCCCAGGGGCGTCCCTCTCCCCCTTGGCCGTGCGTAATCTCAACCTGCCCACCATCACGCTGGCTCGCCTGCAGGGCTCTGTTCAGGTCACCCGCACAGTCACCTGCGTTGGAAGCTCTGTGTCCACATACACTGTATCTGGGAGTCCGCCCCAGGGCGTCAGGGTGTTTGTAGGGCCTGGGAGTTTCACGCTTGCTCCGGGGCAGAAGGCGAATTACACGCTTATTGCCACGGTGGAAACACCCAGCAATGACTTCAAGTACGGGTTCATTGTGTGGAAGGACAACAAGGGGCACAGCGTGCGCTCTCCTCTCGTGGTTCAGCCGATTTCCCGCTAAGGGGTGGGTGGGGCGGGGTGGGGTGGGGTGGGATGGGATAAGATGGGGTCGGGTGATGCTGAGTGCTGCTGGAGAAGACGTGTTTGCCAGGCGTTGCTGTTGGTGTGTTTGTCAGGAGTGTGGGTGTCCCATGGCATGGAGTGGAGTTGGGCTTGGCACAAACCGTGAACTGGCTCTTGGTAGGGACACGTCATGTGATGCTCCTTAGGAATTTGTGTGGTTTCTTGGGATAGTATCGCTGGGATGCATGCCTAGGGATGCAGGATGCTTGCATTGCTGTTCTCTTCATTGTCTAATCTAAATTATACCTGCTGCTCTAAATTACTTGCACGTGTCAACAGCCCATGCACACCAACACACACAGCCTGCTTTCTCACTTGCTCTCTGCCTCTTCTGCTTCCACCACTGCCCCAAACCCGATGGGAAGCGCTGCGCTTGTAGCTGGAGCCCTGCTGCTGCTGTGTGCCAGACCGGATGGCGAAGGTGTGATTGTCGAGACGTAGCTGGTTGCAGAGTGATGGATGGAGCTGCCGTGCTGTGGAGGAAATGTGTATTACTGGTAGGCACTAGAACGGTGGACCAACCCGAATTTGCATGTAGTCCTCACGTTCCCTATCTAGCTAGTACAGTGAGTAGGCTATAGGATTAGGGTCTTAATCCATATGTCCATTTAGCTGCTACTTCACAGAAGAGTTATGCTGCATGTAAGCATAATAGAATCTAACTCCATGTACTGTACATGGGTGCCGCTAATTTGGGCTATTGTAGTGTAGGTCCGACCCCACGAACAGTGGCCCAGCAAACACATAAACCGGCGCGACCAGTCACAAGTTTCCTTGTCCGTGTGCGATTCTAGGTGCTGCCGGACCCGTGTCGTGCACGGCCGGGATTCGCCATCCATGTTCTCTCCCTTAAAGCCAGAAGCCCAAATTGCACAAGTTTTAAAAGGTTGACGCTAGTGGGCTTTTCTGGTTTGGGTTTTGGCGAGTGATTCCGATTTCGTGAAAGTCGTTTTTTTCCGCCAAACCCAACCAGCCCTCGTATTTCGCCCTGGGGGTTGGGTCAGTCCCCGAAAGTCCCAAATTGCAGGTGCGCTACTTTTCAAAGCTTGCACACAGCACTGTTGGGCTGAGAAAAGCCCTTAGGATCTTTGCAGGACTAAACTCTGAGTAGAAATAATGTAATAGCAGAAGCGTTTAGTGAGAAAGTTGTGAACCACCTTGCGCCGGTATATGAGGGCAAAGTAGATTGATTAAAGCAAAGAGATACAAGCTTTTATAAGAGTACAAGGAATACGAAGAGATACAGTTAATAACCGTTTTACTATTTGCTGTTGTAGTTCGATACAGTGACGACTCGGGCAACTGCTCAATGGCGAGTCAGTTGTTTGTCCTTGCTGTCGCGCTGTACTTGTCAGGTCAAAGGTCGCTGACCTTTGACTTTCGCGTAACCTCCAGCAGTTGTTCAACCTCCGAGGGTTGACTCACTAATGCTTCGATATATTTCGCTTCTGTCAGAATCAAGCAGCAGGAATGGATGAACTATGAAAGAGTTGGGTACAAGTATGAAACCCTAAAAGGGGCTGTACCCCATATTGGCTACCCCACTACAGCCTACACATATATAACATGCATATACTTTGACACACCCCCATAGGCAAAGTGGGGGAGAGCAAGGGGTCACAAGACCAGTCAAGAGAAGCAAAGCAAGCTCAGGGTGGATCACAACGTCACCACACACACTGAGCACAAGCAGAGGGCCACAAGGCCAGTTCACATGCAGAGGTAGATATGCAACAACAACAGCACAGTGATCTCTACCTAGCAGAGCAAGCATGCAGGTATATATATAGATCACAGTACAGGCAAAGTCTACAGCAAGTGAGGAAACGTAGGCACAAGGCCTAACAGAGTGCAAAAACGCTGATGATCACCAGACGGAAGCGCCTTGGTGAATATATCAGCAGTGTTGGCCCGAGTGGCCATGTGAGCAAGACGAAGCTGACCACGCTGCTGCAACTCTCGAGCCAGGAAGTAACGCAGAGCGATGTGCTTCGTTCTGTGCTCCAGTCTGTGCTCTTGACACAAGGCAATGACAGCCTTGTTGTCGACGTACAGCACTGGAGGAGAACGAGGCCTCTCTCCCAAGTCGGTCAGCAGGTAGGTGAGCCAGCGTAACTCCTGTGCAGCCATGGCTGTGGCGTAGATCTCAGCCTCACAACTGGAGCTGAGAACTGAAGACGAGCGTGTAGAACGCCAAGAAACCGAACCAGAGCCAAGGCTGAAGGTGTAACCCTGTGACGACCGCTGTGTAGCCTGGTCGTCAACCCAAGAAGCGTCTGAGTGCCCAGTGAGGACAACTGGGCTCCGCCCTCCAAGCACGAGCCCCATGCCCGATGTACTGCACAAGTAGCGTAGTACCCTCTTAGCAGCATCCATGTGCACCTTTCGGTGCCGACCAGGAGCCACGTAGCGAGCCAGAAGGCCAAGAGGGTACGCAAGGTCAGGACGAGTGCAGGTCATCAGGTACATGAGGCAGCCCACTAGCTCTGGGTAAAGACCACTCGGCTCTACGGACTCGTCCGAAGGTGGAGCTTCTGACTTGGTGTTTCGACACAGGCGCTAAATCAATTGTTTCCAACAAGCACTTCGTCAAGTTTTAAAAGCATGACCCACGCGCCTCGCAATTTGGGACTCGGGCTTTAAGTTCCCGGCGATCCAGCCCCGTCCGTTATTTTCGGTTCAGATCGGACCCCCACCAGATGCTCGTCTCGTCATCCCAGCTAATGTCGCGCCGCGCACGATGCGACACGACCTCAATCAAGTGTGGAGTGGAACTCGAGAAGAGGACAGTCGGAGGAAGGATACGACAGGGCAGGCAGCCTCGTAGTCGATTCATTCCATCTGAATTCCGTTTGTTCCTCTCGGAGCAACGAGTTCTACCTCGACGCTAGAATCTCTCATCGCCGTGGTTAACATGGCCCGTAACCACCCTGCCGTTGCGATGCTGCTGATGACACTTGGCGCGATGTTGCTAGCAGCACAGCCGTCCGGTGCGATCCGAGCGTGGCTCGACGGCGAAGGGTTCCAGCCCCTTGAAGCGCCCGCTAGTGGCGGCAGTGGCGGCAATGGCGGAAGCGGGTCTGTCTACATCGTGCGCCTGAGTTCCGCGCCACCGCTCGTCGAATACCGCGGCGGAATCGCCGGCTACCCCGCCACTGCCACGTGGGACGACGACCGCAGCGAGAATGACGGGGGCGACGACGAATCCGTACCGAATATGGACCTTTCAGCCACCGACGTCGTCGCAGGAGCAGATACAGCGCCTTCGAGGGCGGCGAAGCATGAAGCCGTGGAATTGGAAGACTCTACGACTCCTAGCACTGCTGACGGCGCTGCTGACACGGCCGCAGTGGATGCCTGGAGCTCCGCCTTCTCGGGGCCCAACGTAACTGCGTTTTCGCCCGCGGTGTCAGGTGACGTTGGCAACGACGGGCGCGCGCGGCGCCGAATGCGGCTGAGCATGGACCGGCCGCAGGTGGCGGCTTTCGCGACGCTGCTGCAGCGGCAGAAGGCGCAGGTGGCATCTGAGGCGGGTGTACTCGACGCGGACCTCATCTACAGCTACAAGCACACCTCCAACGGCTTCGCGGCGCGCCTCACCGCGCGCCAGGTGTGGCGGCTGCAGCGCCATCCCGACGTCACGTCCGTGACCCCCAGCCGCATGCTCCGCCCCCAAACCACCGACTCGCCTAAGTTCCTCGGGCTCCCCGGGAAGGTGTGGCCGGCAGTGGGCGGTCAGAGCAAGGCGGGCGACGGGATAGTGGTGGGGATTGTTGATACAGGCATCTGGCCAGAACACCCGTCTTTCAGCAATCAAGGGATGAGCTCGAAACTCCCGGTCGGGTGGAAGGGCAAATGCGAGCAGTCCAGCTCGTTCCGGTGCAACAAGAAGGTGATCGGCGCCCGGGCTTTCTACGCCGCGTTCGGCTCACCCTCGCTGCAAAACGACTGGCTCTCGCCGCGCGACAGCAGCGGCCACGGCACGTGGTGCGCGACCGCGGCGGCGGGCAACCCCGTGAGCATGCAGGGCGGCGGGTAGATGAGCGGCATGGCGCCTGCAGCACGCCTCGCGGTCTACAAGGTCTGCTGGTCGAGGAGCAACGGAGGTGGCGGGTGCAGCGGAGCAGATATCGCCGCGGCCATCAATCAGGCCGTGGCGGACGGCGTGGATGTGATTTCCATCTCTCTAGCAGGCATGGATCAGAACCAGGATTATTTCAGCGACCTCCTGTATATGAGGGCCAATACTGCGGGGGTAGTTGTGGCCCTGGCTGCGGGCAATGGAGGAGCCTCCGGGCGGTCGCAGGGAGGTGTTTACCGCACGGTGACCAATTTCGGGCCCTTCGCCCTCAGCGTTGGCGCCAGGTGAGCTGCCGCCGCTGTCCTGGTTTCTACAGCGTGAGTTGCTGCGCCTTGCCTTTGCGCCTTGCAAAGTTGCTGCGCCTTGCCTTTGCGCCTTGCAAAGTTGCTGCGCCTTGCCTCTGCGTGTGTCAGGTCATCAGTCATGTTCGGAACGTTTACTAAGGCACGCACAGTGTGGCTGTCCCCATTCGCCGCGTTGTTGTTGTTGTTGCCATGTTACTGTGCACTGCTGCTGCATGTGTGACTCACCCAGCCATTTCTTCCCCAATCCGCCCTCCTCTCTTCCCATCTCCCCGCAGCACCATCGCAAGGGGGGTGTCCTTAGCTTCGGCCACCAGCAGTCAGTCCCTAAACCCTCTCAACGCCATCGCTAGCGCCACTGCCAGCAGCAACAGCACGGGCGACAGCAGCGCCACGCTCACTGCCGACGGGGGAATCACCTTCACTGCTGCCTCTTCAGCCCCCATGGTCGCTGAATTTTCTTCTCGTGGGCCCCTCCTACCGCCCTCTGACACAGCCCGCCCCCCCCTGCCAGCTAACGACATTCTCAAGCCTGATATTATCGGCCCTGGCGTTGATCTTGTAGCTGCTTTTCCCTCTAAGAAAATCGGCGAGCCAGGTACAACCGCCCGCCTCACGGGTACTTCCATGCCACCCCGCATTTGGCGGGGCTAGCCGCGTTAATCATCCAGAAGTTCCCCAACTGGACCCCGGCTCAGGTCATGTCAGCACTGATGACGACGGCAAGGTTTACTGACACGAGCAACAGCCCAATTAAGAATGCCGGCGCGGCTGGCAAAGACGCAACCCCGTGGGACATGGGGGCAGGACATGTGTTCCCGCCTGCTATGCTCGACCCTGGTCTCACATACGATGCCCGAGAGAAAGACTACCAGAATTTTCTGGCCGGGCAGGACCTGAACCGCGCGAAAAAGGAGTTCCCAGGGGCGTCCCTCTCCCCTCTGGCCGTGCGTAATCTCAACCTGCCCACCATCACAGTGCCTCGCCTGCAGGGCACTGTTCTAGTCACCCGAACTGTCACCTGCGTGGGCAGCTCTGTGTCTACATACACTGTATTCGGGAAGGCGCCACCAGGTGTGCAGTTGCCGGTTGGGCCTGGGAGTTTCACGCTTGCTCCGGGGCAAAAGGCGACTTACATGGTCAAATTGATGGTGGATACACCCAGCAATGACTTCAAGTATGGGTATATAGCGTGGAAGGACGACAAGGGGCACACCGTGCGCTCTCCTCTCGTGGTGCGGCCGATTTCACGCTAAGGGGTGGAGTGGGGTGTGCTAGAAGTATGTACAGTGTTGGGGTTGGGGGATTGCTTGATGGTGGTGGTGTTGTGACTGTTGCTAATGACCACGAGGTCTCTCTTGTGGCAAGGAGGAATTGCTTGCCTTGTCTCTTTTGCTTGCAGAGAGGAGAAGGTGTTGGTTGACGGTTGCAAGAGGCAATAGTACCATTTTCAGTGTTGGTGTGACGGTAGTCATTGCTGCTCCTTGTGGCATTTGCTGGGGGATAGGTGGAATATAACAGGGAGTGAAGTGTGAATGTGGGGCCTTGGATAGCGGATGCTTGCACACCTGCTTGCTAGTCTCTCCATTGTCCTGCTAATGTATGCCGTACATTCAGACAAATACCCATCCACACATCGGCAGGCAAAGCGCAGCACACCTCCGGTACCAGTGCACAAAACAGGCTATGCCGTAACCAGTGTTGTCAGTCATTCACTTCACAGCCCCCCAAATGCTGGTTCCAATCTCACTGGCGGGAACAACCAAGAGTGTTAGTGAAGCCTACTGGCTTGCCTTGAACAAGCCCCGATAACGAGCTAAAACTTTTAAGTGTCAACAGCCGATGCACTGCACACCAACAAACACAGACCGGCTAAGGCACTGGAAACTCCTGCCTCGCCTCTCATTCCCTAACATGCAACTCACTACATCATATATATTTCTTCAAACATAGTTTGATGCGGTATTTCTGGTGTTGTCGACCAACATCTACCGCAATGGTGGTGGTGGTGGTGGCTAGTGTGTCAAACATATGCATATGTTACATTTCTGGGTAGGCTGTAGTGGGGTAGATACTGTGGGGTATAACCCCTTAGGGTTTCTCTCTTGTACCATTTTCTCTCCATAGTCAATCCCATTGCCTAAGTTTCTAACATGGTATCTAGAGAAGTAGGTCTTTAGGACCTAAGATTAGGGCCCACCGGTTACCGCGTTACCTCACATGCCTGCCTGCCTTGCCTACTGCCCGCGCGCGCCTCGGCTGCACGCGCGCGGCCCTTTTTTTTTCCCGCGCGCGCCGCTTAAGCAGCCCGTGCAGCCCGTTTTCGGCCCCGCGCGCCGCGTTAGCCGCCCGCGCGGCCTGCTGCCGGCCAGCGCGCCGCCTAAGCCGCCCGCGCGCAGCCCGCTTAGGCCCCGCCCGCGCAGCCCGCCGCCGCACGCAGCACGCAGCCGCGCGCAGCCAGCAGCCGCGCGCAGCCCACATCCGCGCGCAGCCCGTCACCACGCGCAGCCAGCAGCCACGCGCAGCCCACAGCCACGCGCAGCCCGCAGCCGCGCATGCCCTGCCAGTGTGCCGCCCGTGAGCCGCGCGCCTGCCTGTCTTAGCCTGCCTGGAGAGCCTGCCTTGAGTGCCTGCCTGACAAGAGCGCCTGCCTGCATGACAAGAGCGCCTGCCTGCCTTGAGTGCCTGCCTGCCTTGAGCTGCCTTGCCTGCACTGTTACTATGGCGACGCTTAATGTGCTCGAGTTCGATCCAGACGGTCGTCCCGTAGAGTTCGCCACCTGGCTCGACGACCTGCAACTGTTCCTCCTGACTGATGCCAAGGACGGTGTTTCCCTGTTCGATTACGTGTCTGGCACTGCCGTTGCTCCTGCTGACACTGAGACTGCTCTAACCCGCTCCCAGTGGCAGACCCGCGATGCTGCTGCGCGCCTAGCTATTCGCAATCATCTGCCGATCACAGAGCGAGCGCATTTTAGCCAGCACAAGACTGCCAAGGCACTGTACAAAGCTGTAGTTGCCCGCTACTCTTCCCCGGCCACTGCATCCCTCGGTCGACTTATGCTACCCTACCTGTTCCCCGACCTGTCCTCGTTTACCACCGCTGAGGACCTCATCTCTCACCTACGCGCTAGTGACACTCGCCTTTGTGCCGCCCTTCCAGCCGAGTTCCTCGCAGAGAACCACCCCCCGATGTACTTTACTCTCTACTTCCTCATCACCCGCCTCCCTGACACTCTTCGCTCAGTCAGGGATCACTTCCTCGCCCTTGACCCCCATTCTCTCACTGTCGACGACCTCGAGAAGCACCTCCTAGCAGCCGAGAAGAACATTCTAGCTGTAGGTGCTGCTCGTGGTACTCCCCGCACTCCCCTCTTTGAGGGGTGCTCCCCCTCCCCTCTTACCTCCTCCTACGCCTCCGCAGCTGCTGCTGTCGACCTCCTCGGTGCTGAGCAGGTCGCAGCTGCTTCCGCTCCTAGTGGGAAGCGCAGCGGCTCAAGGGGAGGCAAGGGTGGCAGGGGTGGCGGACATGGCGGTGGAGGGGGCGGTGGTGGAGGCGGCGGGGGAGGTGGAGGTGGTGGGGGTGGTCGTGGGGGTGGAGGTGGTAGTGGGGGCGGTGGTGGTGCCGGGAGCGGTGGCGGTGGCGGCGGCGGTGGTGGCGGAGGGGGGAGTGGTGGTGGCAGCGGTGGTGGGGGCTTGGGTGACACCTGTGGTGGCCAGGGGCAGCAGCAGCAGCAGCAGCAGCAGCAGCGTCAGCGCCAGACCCCCACTTCCCAGCAGCTTCTTGACTGGTATGCCGGGCGTGGGGCGTCTGGGGGTCCTGGTCGCTGCCCCTATATCATTCGCACAGGTCCCCGCACTGGTCGCCAGTGCACAGGGTTTCACACTGAGTACCGCTGTTTTGCTCGGCTTAGCGACGCCTGGCGCGTCAAGTTTCCTGATGCTACTGAGTTCCCCAACTGGGCAGACCTGCTTAGGCGTGATGTACCTATCTATGATCTTGACTATGAGGCTATTCTTGCTGCCATGTATGCATTGACTGTTAGTGCTGAGGGTGACTGCTACTTGTGTGTGCCGCCTGACCCAGGTATAGTCCCAGGTATAGCGCCTGTGGCACTAGGTGCTTGTGAGTCTGCTCCCCCTGGTACTGCGTCCGCACAGGCCTTGCACACCTTCACACTTGACTCTGGTGCTTCCCGCTGTTTCTTTCGCGACAACACCACAGTCACTCCCCTCCCTGCACCTATTCCTGTCTCGCTGGCTGACCCCTCTAGGGGCCCAGTGCTTGCACGGTCTTCCACTGTGCTTCCGTGTCCAGCGGTCCCGTCTGGTGAGCTGTCTGGTCTCCACCTCCCCTCGTTCTCTACGAACTTGGTGAGCAACGCCGTCCTTCAGGATCATTGGGTTGACACCTTTACTCCTGGAGGGCAGCGTGTGGCAATCTGCACGTGCTCTCGGACCGGCCGCCACCTGGCCACATTCACACGTGCGCCTGGGTCCATTCTGTACACCCTCACCACTGCGTCACGCTACACCCCTTTGTCCCCCCAGCTGTACGCGTCTGCTCAGGTAGCTACCCAGTGTGAGTGTCGCCGCCTGTCGCACGACACTCTCCTGTGGCACCACCGCCTTGGTCACCCCTCCCTGCCTCGCCTTCGTAGCATGCACTCTCGCTAACTGGTCTCTGGCCTTCCCGAGTCTCTGCCTGCCCTCCCTCCCTCGCCTACGCCGCCCTGCATTCCTTGCGTCGAGGGGCGGCAGCGCGCCGCTCCTCACTCCTCCTCGTTCCCTCCCACAGAGGCTCCCCTGCAGACTCTCCACCTGGACGTGTGGGGCCCAGCCCGCGTCCGTGGACAGGGCCACGAGCGGTACTTCCTGCTGGTCGTCGACGACTACACGCGTTACACCACGGTCTTCCCCTTGCGCAGCAAGGGGGAGGTCCCTGATGTTTTGATCCCCTGGATCCGCGCTGTTCGTCTCCAGCTCCGCGAGCGGCTCCACTCGGACTTTCCTGTCCTGCGTCTGCACTCTGACAGGGGTGGTGAGTTCTCCTCAGACCTCTTGGCAGCTTTCTGTGCGGAGCACGGCATCCGCCAGACGTTCACGCTTCCGGCCTCTCCGCAGCAGAATGGGGTTGCTGAGCGCCGCATTGGCTTAGTCATGGAGGTCGCTCGTACCTCCATGATCCATGCGGCTGCCCCCCATTTTCTGTGGCCGTTTGCGGTCCGGTACGCCGCGCATCATCTCAACCTCTGGCCCCGTGTCTCCTTGCCGGAGACCTCACCCACACTGCTGTGGACGGGGAAGGTTGGCGATGCGTCGCGTTTCCGGGTCTGGGGTGCTCGTGCCTTTGTCCGCGATACCACCGCGGACAAGCCCTCTGCTCGCGCCATTCCCTGCGTCTTCCTTGGCTTTGTCCCTGACGCGCATGGCTGGCAGTTTTACGACCCAGCCTCGCGCCGTGTCTTTCCGTCTCAGGACGTCACCTTTGACGAGTCCGTCCCCTTTTACCGTTTCTTTCCCTACCGCACTGCCCCTCGCCCCCCCCCCCCGCCGCTCTTTCTCGCTCCAGGTGCTCCCCAGGTAGACCCCCTCCCCGCGCCAGGTCCCGCTCCTTTAGGTGTTTCTCAGGTAGACCCTCCCGTGCCTGCGCCTGTTGAGGTCACTGGTGACTCAGGTCCTGCTGGGGGTGGTGCTGTCTTTGGGGGTGCTGGGCCTGGGGGTGCGGAGCGTGGGGGTGCTGAGCCTGGGGGTGCGGAGCTTGGGGGTACGGAGTCTGGAGGTGCTGAGCCTGCGCGTGAGGAGCCTGGAGGTCCTGAGCCTGGGGGTGCTGTGTCTGGAGGTGCTGAGCTCGAGCGTGAGGAGCCTGGTGGTACTGAGTCTGGGGGTGCGACACCTGAGGGTTCTGAGTCTGCTGCTGCGCGGTCTCCTTGGAGTAGCCACCTTCGTCCACGTGTGCCTCTCACCTCACAGCAGCTGCACGACTAGTACGGTCGCCGTCAGGGTCGAGCTTCTGGAGCACGGGGCTCTGCTGCTGGAGGTACTTCTGCTGACGTCACTGGAGCTGGGAGTGGTACTGGTCCCGGAGGTGCTCGTACTGGAGGTACTGGAGCTGCAGGGGCTGGAGGTGCTGCTGAGCCTGAGGGTGCTACTACTGGAGACCCTGGGTCTGGGGGTGCTGCTGCTGGAGACACTGAGGCTGGAGACCCTGGGACTGGAGGTGCCGGTTCTGGGGGTGCTGCTCTTGGTGGAGCTGGTCCTGGAGGAGCTGACGCTGAGGGTTCTGGGGCTGCTGTAGGTGTTGAAGCTGCTGGGGGTACTGGAGCTGCTGGTGCTGGTGTCGCTGCATAGCCGCGCCTGTTCTTTGCTCCACCGTCTCCGTCGTCTCAGCCACCGCCTGGCTCTGTGCTTCGCCAGGTTCTTAGTCTCCCTTCGTCTACTGGTCTTCCGTTACAGCCTGGCTCACCGCTGCCTGCTCCTTCTCCTTACACTGAGCAGACAGGGGGTCTTACTGAGCGTCGTGCGCCTGCGTAGCGTCCTGTCTCGCATGTCCGTTCTGGTCGTCGTGTTCCTCGTCCGCGTCAGTCGGCTGTCCCCGACACCCACCTTGTAGTCCGTCGTCCTTCCTCTCCTCCGCAGCGTGTTCCTCTGCCGTCTCCTCCTGTGTCTTCTTTGCCTGTTGTTCCGGACCCTGAGTCTAACCGGTTTCGTGCTGAGCACCCTACTGTCACGCGTCTACTAGCCACTGTTGTCACTGACCCGTCGTTTGAGTCTGCTGCTGCGTCTGCCTTTGTCGCTGAGCTGGTTGACTTTGCTGCTGCCTGTCGTCTAGACTCCGCTGCTAGTCTTGTTAGCGAGTCTGAGTCTGTCAGTCCTCCGTCCGTCGGGGGTGAGTGTGCTCTTGGCACGGACGTCCTTGAGGACAGACAGGAGGAGTTTGAGTGCTTTGCCGCTGCTTTACCTCATCTCGTGTCCATGCTGATTGCCCCTGAGGGAGACCCGGATGCACCAGACATCCCGACCCTGCGCTCTTACGCACAGGCGATAGAGGGTCCCTACTCCTCTCAGTGGCAGTCAGCCATGGACGCAGAGATGGCTTCCTGGAAGTCCACAGGCACCTACGTCGACGAGGTTCCCCCGCCTGGGGCGAACATCGTCAGTGGCATGTGGATTTTCAGGGTGAAGCAGCCGCCGGGTTCTCCGCCTGTCTTCAAGGCGCATTACGTTGCACGAGGCTTCAGTCAGCGTGAGGGAGTTGACTTCTTCCAGACCTTCTCCCCTACCCCGAAGATGACCACTCTTCGGGTTCTGCTGCACGTCGCCGCTCAGCGTGACTACAAGCTCCACTCTCTTGACTTCAGCACTGCTTTCCTACAGGGCAGCCTGCACGAGGAGATCTGGCTGCGCCGCCCACCTGGCTTCACTGGGTCGTTTCCTCCTGGTACCCAGTGGAGCCTCCGGCGGCCGGTCTACGGTCTCCGCCAGGCGCCACGTGAGTGGCACGACACACTGAGGACGACACTTGCGGCTCTTGGGTTTGCTCCTTCGACTGCTGACCCGTCGCTGTTTCTGCGCACCGACACTTCGCTGCCGCCGTTCTACATCCTCGTGTACGTCGACGACTTGGTCTTTGCCACTGGTGACACTGCTGGACTGGCCTTTGTGAAGTCGGAGATGCAGAAGAGACACACGTGCACAGACCTGGGTGAGCTGCGCAGTTACCTTGGCTTGCAGATCACCCGGGACAGAGCACGCCGCACCATCACTCTGACTCAGTCACACATGGTGCAGCAGGTCCTTCAGCGCTTCCGCTTCACCTGGTCCTCGGCACAGCACACTCCTCTGGCTACAGGTCACTCGCTGTCAGCTCCACCTTCGGACGAGTCCGTAGAGCCGAGTGGTCCTTACCCAGAGCTTGTTGGCTGCCTGATGTACCTGATGACCTGCACTCGTCCTGACCTCGCGTACCCTCTTGTCCTTCTGGCTCGCTACGTGGCTCCTGGTCGGCACCGAAAGGTGCACATGGATGTTGCTAAGAGGGTACTACGCTACTTGTGCAGTACATCGGGCATGGGGCTCGTGCTTGGAGGACGGGGCGACGTTGTCCTCACTGGTCACTCGGACGCTTCTTGGGTTGACGACCAGGCTACGCAGCGGTCGTCACAGGGTTACACCTTCAGTCTTGGCTCTGGCTCTGTTTCTTGGCGGTCTACACGCTCGTCTTCTGTTCTCAGCTCCAGTTGTGAGGCTGAGATCTACGCCACAGCCATGGCTGCACAGGAGTTACGCTGGCTCACCTACCTGCTGACCGACTTGGGAGAGAGGCCTCGTTCTCCTCCAGTTCTGTACGTCGACAACAAGGCAGCCATTGCCTTGTGTCAGGAGCACAGACTGGAGCACAGAACGAAGCACATCGCTCTGCGTTACTTCCTGGCTCGAGAGTTGCAGCAGCGGGGTCAGCTTCGTCTTGCTCACGTGGCCACTCGGGCCAACACTGCTGATATATTCACCAAGGCACTTCCGTCTGGTGATCATCAGCGCTTTTGTACCTTGTTGGGCCTTGTGCCTACGTTTCTGCACTTGCTGTAGACTCTGCTTGTACTGTGATCTATATATATATACCTGCATGCTTGCTCTTGCTAGGTAGAGATCACTGTGCTGTTGTTGTTGCATATATACCTCTGCATGTGAACTGGCCTTGTGGCCTTTTGCTTGTGCTCAATGTGTGTGGTGACGTTGTGATCCACCCTGAGCTTGCTTTACTTTTCTTGACTGGTCTTGTGACCTCTTGCTCTCCCCCACTTTGCCTATGGGGGTGTGTCAAACATATGCATATGTTACATTTGTGGGTAGGCTGTAGTGGGGTAGATACTGTGGGGTATAACCCCTTAGGGTTTCTCTCTTGTACCATTTTCTCTCCATAGTCAATCCCATTGCCTAAGTTTCTAACATAGTGGTCACATCCCCTATTTACATAGTACCGTACGTTTCCGCTAGTTGTCAATCGAGCACCTGTCCTTCCCTTGCACCTTTCATGTCTCTTCACATAGATTGAGTTGTGCTGTGTGTAAGCATGATAGATTTGGACTTCATGTACATGGGTAATTATATGGGCTTTATAGTCGAGGTCTCCACGAACCAATGGGCTCGGCGAACAGTGGTCCTAGATTGCCTGCTTGGGTTACCAGCGCTGCGCAATTCGTCTATTCTGGTCCGAGTGCGATTCGGAGGCTTTGATTTACCCGTACCGTGCACGGCCCAGATTCACCATCCATTTCTCTTGCTTGAGTTCCAGGCTCCGTCCACGTCTGTCGATTTCGGTTCAGACCTTCACCGGATCTTCGTCATCCCTGCAAACGCCGTGCCGCGCACGATGCGATGCGATGCGACACAACCCCAATCAAATGTTGAACGCGAGGGTGGAAGGGAGAGATAAACACGCAGCCTCACACAATCAATTCAGGTCATCTGAATCCTGTTTGTTCATCTCGAAGCATCTCCGTGTTTGTTGTCGAAACAATCGTGCGCTTACAATCGACCGCGACGACGAGTTCTACGTGGACTCTAGAATCTGTCATAGCTGATCAACATGGCCCGAGACAGTCCTACCGTTGCGATGTTGCTGATGATACTTGGCGCGCTGTTGCTAGCTGCACAGCCATCCTGTGCGACCAGAGAGTGGCTCGACGGCGGAGGGTTCCAGCCCCGTGAAGCGCCCGCGAGTGGCAGCGGCAGTGGCGGCAGCGGGTCCGTATACATCGTCCGCCTGAGCTCCGCGCCACCGCTCGTCGAATACCGCGGAGGAATCGCCGGCTACCCCGCCACTGCCAAGTGGGACGACGGCAGCAGCGAGAATGACGAGGACGACGAAGAAGCTGTACCGGAGATGGATCTTGGAGCTAACTACGTCGAGCCAGGGGCAGGTGCAGCGTCGTCGAGGGCGGCAAACCACGAAGCCGTGGACTTGGATGACACAACGACTCGTAGCACTGATAGCATTGATCATCCCTGGAGTTCCGCCTTCTCGGGGCCCAACGCAACTGACGGCACGTCGGCGTCAGGTGACGTTGGCAACGGCGGGCGCGCGCGTCACAGAATGTGGCTGAGCATGGACCAGCCCCAGGTGGCGGCGTTCGCGTCGCTGCTCCAGCGGCAGCAGGCGCAGGTGGCATCTGAGGCGGGTGTACTCGACGTGGACCTCATCTACAGCTACAAGCACACCTCCAACGGCTTCGCGGCGCGGCTCACACCGCTCCAGGTGTGGCGGCTGTAGCGCCATCCCGACGTTGCGTCCGTGCATCGCGGAAAAGGAAAATTGCGATTTTGGGGGTTCGAAGGTTTTTCTGCGAAAAACCTGCGACTAAGTTGCGCGAAGTGTCCAAAAAACAACGCACGCAAAAAGCGACTTTCTGTACACCAGTTGCGAATGCGGAAACCTGCGGAAAAATGTGACCGCAAAGTTGCATTTCTGTCAACATTTTCGCGTAACTCGGTTTTGCGCGGTTGAGAGAGTTTGAAAGCGTTTTGGCAGTGTAACGTTGACAGTGGCCATGGTAACAACAAATTTGACGAAACTGAACGACCCCACGAAATTTAGCGAGGTTACAAACGTGGATACCCCGTTTTCGTTTTTCACAAATCTGAACCCAACCACCCAACCCAACCCAAAAACGGCAGCTGGTTTCTTTGGAGGTGTGACGTGTGAGCCAACAAATCAATTCGAACCAATCATTGTTCTGCTATTAAGAGTCAATCAATCTGCACCTTCCGATAGGTACACGTCAGCACACCCAACCAAATCCACCCAAAAACGTCCACCCATACCCCCTCATCTTCACCGCTGGAACCTTTCTCCCACGATTTCCCTTTACACCTGTACCTCACAACCTACCTCGTCTCACCCCTCCATTTTTTTTTTTTCAATGTTCACCAGAATCGCGCTCCTGGTTCCTTAGACTAGCAACCAAGTTGTGATGTTGAACCTACTGACTATGATGCCACTTTTTCACCGGCGATTTATCCCTTACCTTCCGTGGTGAACATTTGCACGTCAGAGCCCACGTCAGAGCCTCATTCTGGACTTTCCCCCTTCCATTTAACCTAGCATTCCCCTTTTCAGGTCGACGAGTTTCAACATTTTCGCGGAGAACATGCACACAAATTTTGACGCTTAGGCACCATTACGGCAGCTACTTCTTTAACAAATGGTAAGGTATTCGAATATCGCTGAAGTATGCGTTTTTCATGGCTTCGTCATGTGTCCTATGTTTGCAGTCCCAAGTCATGTTACCTTCTCGGTTGTTACGATTGCATCTACTTCATATATTCAGTTAGAGACTAACAATGTGCAGTATCTCACTCTTTGCCATGCGTAACCATCGTAGTTAGAGCCGCCGCAACCGACTATGCGAAAGGTAAGTACGATGCATTTGGTGTTTCTCTTCCGTGGTTATCACTAACCCTTCTGGAGCAAGCTCAAAGACGTGCGTAACAGCAACATTGTGTGTGCAGGTTTCACACATGTGAACGTCATCGCTTACCATTTTTTCCTTCAGGAATATAAATGTCGACACCCGCATTAGGTATGCGTACTTTGCAGGGCGTCCCGGTTACTGCAGGGTTATCGTCAACCAGTATCGCGCTATGTATATTTTCCAACACTACCCATTATTACTGACCTCAATGGTGAGTGTTGGAAACGCAAACTTGGTTTACTTGTTAACCAAGTGTTCATGTCTTTTTTTCCAGTTTACATCCGTTTCTTAACTTGTAGAGATTTTCTTCTTGCAGAGATACGGTATAAAAAGGTTGTGTTTGCATGTTTTGCAGGGCCAACCTGTCACCCCAGTCCTATCAATATTAACCCTAATGGTGAGTGGTGGAATGGCAGTCTAGTTGTGTATTTTTAACAAGGTTTTTTTCCTCTTTGTGCAGGTTGCGTCCATATTCTTATTAGCAGTGTTCACACATCTTCTTAGCTGTGCATTTTGCGTAGTAATACTAGTAAGGTTGGGTAGATTGTACGTTTGCATGCCTTGTGAGAGAATCCGTCAATACTGAATGTATTATTCTGTGCTAAAAAACGTATACCCATAAAAGAGAAGCGTCAATCGAAACTGTTGCTGTTCCAATCGCCAACCAATAACATTTTTGTATCGCACGCCTCCGATTGGTCCATGTGGCAAATTTTCGTGCGTCGATATGAATCTGATCCGACGGTTGTCGTTAGCGTACAGTGACATCCACGTCAGCATGTTTCAGTTTCATCTCGAGTACGTCGTATGCCACGTGGCGTACTCAGAACACTTTTCGCGTTGGTTGCTCAGAAGTGACTTTCCGCAACTTTGTGGTTGATTTACTGCATACCGGGTTAGTTGCGTCAATGTATGCAGTTTGTGTCGGTAAAGTGACGGAAATGTTGCTTCTCAAGTCACTAAAGCACCCACGATTTTGAACCTTGACTTTTTTCTTGCGTAAAAAATGCAACCCTAAAGTAACGAGGCAGTAACTTTCGAGTTGCTTTTTGCAGTTCCCTTTTCCGCGATGTGCGCCCGAGCCGCGTGTTCCGCCGCCAGACCACCGATTCGCCCAAATTCCTCGGGCTCCCCGGGAAGGTGTGGCCGGCGCTTGGGGGGCAGAGCAAGGCGGGCGAAGGGACAGTGGTGGGAATCATAGATTCAGGCATCAGGCCGGAACACCCCTCTTTCAGCGATAAAGGGATGAGCTCGAAGCTCCCGGCCGGGTGGAAGGGTAAATGCGAGCAGTCCAGCTCGTTCCGGTGCAACAACAAGGTGATCGGTGCTAAGGCGTTCTACGTTGGGTTTCAGCAGCTCAGCGGCAAGCCCTCGCTGAAAAACGACTGGCTCTCGCCGCGCGACGGGGACGGACACAGCACGTGGTGCGCGGGCGCGGCGGCGGGGAACCCTGTGAGCATGCAGGGCGGCGGGCAGATGAGCGGCATGGCGCCTGCAGCGCGCCTCGCGGTGTATAAAATCTTCTGGACGGACAGCGAGGGGGGCCATTACGGCACGGAGACAGACACCGCGGAAGCCGTTAATCAGGCCGTGGCAGACGGCGTGGATGTGCTCTCCCTCTCGCTGGGTTCTGCGGATCCCAACGACAACTATTTCAACGACCTCACGTATCTGAGAGCCAATGCTGCGGGGGTGTTTGTGGCCTTTGCTGCCGGCGATTCGGGACCCCCTGGTCAGTCGCAGGGTGGCGGTTACCGCACGGTGGACAATTTCTCTCCTTTCTTCCTTAGCGTTGGCGCCAGGTAAGCTGCTGCTGTCATGGTTTTCTCTTGCTGGCTCGTGTGACGCAACGTAGCTGTGCCTGTCCTTTGTGTGTGTCGGATGATCAGACATGCTCGGAAAGTTGAGTACAATACGCATGCTTCAGATGCATCGTGGCGGATCCCATTCGTGCGCTGTTGTTGCAAGCCGTGATACGTACTGCTGCTGCATGTGCATTCACCCATGTGGCTCAATCAACCCCCTTGTCTCCCAATCCGCCCTCCACTCTTCCCATCTCCCGCAGCACGATCGCCAAGGGAGCGTCCCTAGCTTCAACCGCTGCCACTCAGTCCCTAAACCCTCTCAACGCCATCACAAGCAGCAACGGCAGCAACAGCACAGGCGACAGCAGCGCCACGCTCACTACCGACGGGGGAATCACCTTCACTGCTGCCTCCTCTGCTCCAATGGTCGCTGACTTCTCCTCTCGTGGGCCCCTCTTACTGCCCTCTGCCACAGCCCGGCCCCGGCAGCCAGCAAACAATATTCTCAAGCCCGATATCATCGGGCCTGGCGTTGACCTTGTAGCCGCTTTTCCCTCAAAGAAAATCGGTGAGCCGGGCACGACCGCCCGCCTCTCCGGTACTTCCATGTCTACCCCGCATTTGGCGGGGCTAGCCGCGTTAATCATCCAGAAGTTCCCCAACTGGACCCCGGCTCAGGTCATGTCCGCGCTGATGACAACGGCACGGGTGACTGACACGAGCAACAGCCCGATTAAGAGTGCAGGGTCGGGAGAAAGAGACGCAACCCCGTGGGACATGGGCGCAGGGCATGTGTTCCCACTTGCTATGCTCGACCCTGGTCTCACATACGACGTTCGAGAGAAAGATTACCAGAATTTCCTGGCCGGGCAGGATGCGAACCGGGCGAAAAAGGAGTTCCCAGGGGCGTCTCTCACCCCTCTCGCCGTGCGGAATCTGAACCTTCCCACCATTACTCTGCCTTGCCTGCAGGGCTCTGTTCAAGTCACCCGGACAGTGACGTGCGTTGGCAGCTCTGTGTCCACATACAGTGTATCTGGGAAGGCGCCCCAGGGCGTGAAGGTGACTGTAGCGCCTAGGAGTTTCACGCTTTCTCTGGGGCAGAAGGCGAATTACACGCTCACAGCCACTGTGGATACACCCAGCAAGGACTTCAAGTACGGGTATCTAGTGTGGGCGAACGACAAGGGGCACAGCGTGCGCTCTCCTCTCGTGGTGCAGCCGATTTCACGCTAAGGGGTGGGCTGCTCTGATGCTGCTGCTTGCCCTGGCTACTGCTGCTGCCATGCCAATGGCAGCATCTGTTGTTGCGTGATCTCAAGAGGAGGGATTTCCTTGCGTAGGTTGTTGGCTTTCTGAGAGACATTCTGGGCTGTAGTACCGGTATTTCCATTTGTCAGAATCAAGCAGCAGGAATGGATGAACTATGAAAGAGTTGGGTACAAGTATGAAACCCTAAATGGGGCTGTACCCCATATTGGCTACCCCACTACAGCCTACACATATATAACATGCATATACTTTGACACACCCCCATAGGCAAAGTGGGGGAGGGCAAGGGGTCACAAGACCAGTCAAGAGAAGCAAAGCAAGCTCAGGGTGGATCACAACGTCACCACACACACTGAGCACAAGCAGAGGGCCACAAGGCCAGTTCACATGCAGAGGTAGATATGCAACAACAACAGCACAGTGATCTCTACCTAGCAGAGCAAGCATGCAGGTATATATATAGATCACAGTACAGGCAAAGTCTACAGCAAGTGAGGAAACGTAGGCACAAGGCCTAACAGAGTGCAGAAACGCTGATGATCACCAGACGGAAGCGCCTTGGTGAATATATCAGCAGTGTTGGCCCGAGTGGCCACGTGAGCAAGACGAAGCTGACCACGCTGCTGCAACTCTCAAGCCAGGAAGTAACGCAGAGCGATGTGCTTCGTTCTGTGCTCCAGTCTGTGCTCCTGATACAAGGCAATGGCAGCCTTGTTGTCGACGTACAGCACTGGAGGAGAACGAGGCCTCTCTCCCAAGTTGGTCAGCAGGTAGGTGAGCCAGCGTAACTCCTGTGCAGCCATGGCTGTGGCGTAGATCTCAGCCTCACAACTGGAGCTGAGAACTGAAGACGAGCGTGTAGAACGCCAAGAAACCGAACCAGAGCCAAGGCTGAAGGTGTAACCCTGTGACGACCGCTGCGTAGCCTGATCGTCAACCCAAGAAGCGTCTGAGTGCCCAGTGAGGACAACTGGGCTCCGCCCTCCAAGCACGAGCCCCATGCCCGATGTACGGCACAAGTAGCGTAGTACCCTCTTAGCAGCATCCATGTGCACCTTTCGGTGCCGACCAGGAGCCACGTAGCGAGCCAGAAGGCCAAGAGGGTACGCAAGGTCAGGACGAGTGCAGGTCATCAGGTACATGAGGCAGCCCACTAGCTCTGGGTAAGGACCACTCGGCTCTACGGACTCGTCCGAAGGTGGAGCTGAGAGCGAGTGACCTGTACCCAGAGGAGTGTGCTGTGCCGAGGACCAGGTGAAGCCGAAGCGCTGAAGGACCTGCTGCACCATGTGTGACTGAGTCAGTGTGATGGTGCGACGTGCTCTGTCCCGGGTGATCCGCAAGCCAAGATAGCTTGTCAGCTCACCCAGGTCTGTGCACGTGTGTCTCTTCTGCAGCTCCGACTTCACCTGGGCGAGAGCCTCAGTGTCAGCAGTGGCAAAGACCAAGTCGTCGACGTACACGAGGATGTAGAACGGCGGCAGCGAAGTGTCGGTGCGTAGAAACAGCGACGGGTCAGCAGTCGACGGAGCAAACCCAAGAGCCGCAAGTGTCGTCCTCAGTGTGTCGTGCCACTCACGTGGCGCCTGGCGGAGACCGTAGACCGGCCGCCTGAGGCTCCACTGGGTACCAGGAGGGAACGACCCAGTGAAGCCAGGTGGGCGGCGCAGCCAGATCTCCTCGTGCAGGCTGCCCTGTAAGAAGGCTGTGCTGAAGTCAAGAGAGTGAAGCTTGTAGTCTCGCTGAGCGGCAACGTGTAGCAGCACCCGAAGAGTGGTCATCTTCGGGGTGGGGGAGAAGGTCTGGAAGAAGTCTACTCCCTCTCGCTGACTGAAACCTCGTGCAACGTAACGCGCCTTGAAGGCAGGCGGAGAACCTGGCGGCCGCTTCACCCTGAAAATCCACATGCCACTGACGATGTTCGCCCCAGGTGGGGGAACCTCGTCGACGTAGGTGCCTGTGGACTTCCAGGATGCCATCTCTGCATCCATGGCTGTCTGCCACTGAGAGGAGTACTCACCCGCGATCGCCTCAGCGTAAGAGCGCGGGGTCGGGATGTCTGGAGCATCCGGGTCTCCCTCAGGGGCAAGCAGCATGGACACGAGATGAGGCGCAGCGGCTGCAAGACACTCAAGGTCCTCCTGCCTGTCCTCAAGGACGTCCGTGCCAAGAGCACACTCACCCCCGACGGACGGAGGACAGACAGACTCAGACTCAGCAACAAGACTAGCGGCGTAGTCTAGACGACAGGCAGCAGCAAAGTCAACAAGCTCAGCAACTAAGGCAGACGTAGCAGCAGACTCAAACGACGGGTCAGTGACAACAGTGGCTAGTAGACGCGTGACAGTAGGGTGCTCAGCACGAAACCGGTCAGACTCGGGGTCCGCAACGACAGGCAGAGAAGACTCCGGAGGGGACGGCAGAGGAACACGCTGTGAAGGAGAGGAAGGACGACGGACTACGAGGTGGGTGTCGGGGACAGCCGGCTGACGCGGACGAGGAACACGACGACCGGAACGACCAGAACAGACAGGCGAGACAGGACGCGACGCAGCCTCACGACGCTCAGTAAGACTCCCTAGCTGCTCAGTGTAAGGAGAAGGAGCAGGCAGCGGTGAACCAGGCTGTAACGGAAGACCAGTAGACAAAAGGAGACTAAGAACCTGGCGAAGCACAGAGTCAGGCGGTGGCTGAGACGACGGAGACGGTGGAGCGAAGAACAGGCGCAGCTGTGCAGTGACACCAGCACCAGCAGCTCCAGTACCCCCAGCAGCTCCAGCACCTCCAGCAGCTCCAGAACCTCCAACGCCAGCACCTTCAGCAGCTCTAGAACCTCCATCTCCAGTGCCACCAGCGCCAGTACCTCCTGCAGCTACAGAACCTCCAGCGCCAGCACCCAGAACCTCCAGCTCCAACGCCACCAGCGCCAGCACCTCCAGCAGCTCCAGAACCCTCAGCGCCAGCTCCTCCAGTACCAGCTCCACCAACAGCAGCACCCCCAGAACCGGCACCTCCAGTCCCAGGGTCTCCAGCCTCAGTGCCTCCAGCAGCAGCACCCTCAGGCTCAGCACCTCCAGTCCCAGCAGCTCCAGTACCTCCAGTACGTGCACCTCGAGCGGCAGAGCCCCGAGCTCCAGAAGCGCGACCCTGACGGCGACCGTACCAGTCGTGCAGCTGCTGCGAGGTGAGAGGCACACGCGGACGAAGGCGGCTACTCCAAGGAAGCCGCGCAACAGCAGACTCAGAACCCTCAGCGCCAGAACCCGCAGCAGCTCCAGAACCTCCAGCTCCAGCGCCACCAGCGCCAGTACCTCCAGCAGCTCCAGAACCTCCAGCGCCAGCACCCTCAGCAGCTCCAAAACCTCCAGCTCCAGCGCCCTCAGCAGCTCCAGAACCTCTAGCAGAAACAACTCCAGTGGCAGAGTCACCAGCTCCAGCGCCTCCCGCAGCAGGGCCCCTAGCTCCAGCAGCGCGACCGTGACGGCCAGCGTACCACTCAAGCAGCTGCTGTGGGGAGAGAGGGAGTCGACGACGAGAGTGCAGCGACGAGGCACCTGCGGAGTGACTACGGAGACGGTTGCCCCAGGGAGACTGCTCACCTGACGCCTCAGCGCCCCCAGGCTCAGCACCCCCAGACTCCTCACACCCAAGCTCAGCACCTCCAGTCTCCGCACCCCCAGGCTCCGCACCTCCAGGCTCCGCACCCCCAGGCTCAGCACCCCCAGGCTCCGCACCCCCAGGCTCAGCACCCGCAGAAGCAGCAACCCGAGTAGGACCACCCTCAGCAGGACCTGAGTCACCAGTGACCTCAACCGGCTCAGTCAAGGGAGGAGGGTCTACCTGAGACACACCTGAAGGAGCAGGACCGGGAGCGGGGAGGGGGTCTACCTGGGGAGCACCTGGAGCGAGGAAGAGCGGCGGGGGGGGGAGAGGGCCAGTTCGGTAGGGGAAGAGACGGTAAAAGGGAACCGACTCGTCGAACGTGACGTCCTGAGAGGGGAAGACACGGCGCGAGGTGGGGTGGTAAAACTGCCAACCAGGCGCGTCAGGGACAAAGCCAAGGAAGACACAGGGAACAGCGCGGGCGGAGAGCTTGTCCGCGGTGGTATCGCGGACAAAGGCACGAGCACCCCAGACCCGGAAACGCGACGCATCGCCAACCTTCCCCGTCCACAGCAGTGTGGGCGAGGTCTCCGGCAAGGAGACACGGGGCCAGAGGTTGAGCTGATGCGCAGCGTACCGGACCGCAAACGGCCACAGAAAATGGGGGGCAGCCGCATGGATCATGGAGGTACGAGCGACCTCCATGACTAAGCCAATGCGGCGCTCAGCAACCCCATTATGCTGCGGAGAGGCCGGAAGCGTGAACGTCTGGCGAATGCCGTGCTCCGCACAGTAGGCTGCCAAGAGGTCTGAGGAGAACTCACCACCTCTGTCAGAGTGCAGACGCAGGACAGGAAAGTCCGACTGGAACCGCTCGCGGAGCTGGAGACGAGTAGCGCGGATCCAGGGGATCAAAACATCAGGGACCTCCCCCTTGCTGCGCAAGGGGAAGACCGTGGTGTAACGCGTGTAGTCGTCGACGACCAGCAGGAAGTACCGCTCGTGGCCCTGTCCACGGACGCGGGCTGGGCCCCACACGTCCAGGTGGAGAGTCTGCAGGGGAGCCTCTGTGGGAGGGAACGAGGAGGAGTGAGGAGCGGCGCGCTGCCGCCCCTCGACACAGGGAAGACAGGGAGGAGCAGGCGAGGGTGGTAGAGGAGGCAGAGTCTCTGGAAGTCCAGAGACAAGGAAACGGCTGTGCATGCTACGAAGGCGCTGCACCGAGGGGTGACCAAGGCGGTGGTGCCAAAGGAGGGTCTGGTGCGACAGAGCGCGACACGAGCAGGGGGCCGCTAGCTGACCTGACGCAAACGCAGACGCAGACGCAGCTACCTGAGGGGACACAGTGGTGAGTGTGTACAGACTCGAGCCATGCTCTCGGGTGAACGTGGCCAGGTGCCGACCAGTCCGGGAACACGTACAGTGTGTCACACGCTGACCTCCAGGGGTGAACTGGTCAACCCACACATCCTGTAGGTCAGCTCCACTCACCAAGTTCGTAGAGAACGAGGGGAGGTGAAGACCTGACAGGGAGCCAGACGGGACCGCCGGACACGGCAGGACCGTGGAGGAGTGCGCAAGGACTGGACCCCCAGAGGGGTCTGCCAGGGAGACTGCAACCGGCCGACGGAGCGGCGTGAGTGTGGTGCTGTCGCGGAAGAAGGAGCGGGAAGCACCTGAGTCAAGTGTGAAGGTGTACACGGCCTCAGCAGGTGCAGTACCAGAGAGAGTAGACTCACCAGCACCTGGAGCAGCAGCCTCACCAGTACCAAGAGCAGGAGACGCACTCGCACCTAGAGCAGCAGCCTCACCAGCACCTAGAGCAGCAGGCTCTATACCTGGGTCAGGCGGTACGCACAGGGAACTGTCACGGTCAGCACTAGTAGGCAATGCATACATGGCAGTGAGAATAGCATCATAGTCAAGAGCAAAGATATCTACCCTCTGTCCAAGCAGCTCCAGCCAGGAGGGGAGCTCAGCCTCGTCGCCAAACTCGGTACGCCATGCGTCGCTCAGACGGGCGAAGCAGCGGGACTGTGTGTGACTAAGCGTCCCGCAAGGCTGACCGACCCGATCACCTGTGCGAATGACATACGGGCAGCGAACGGTACTCAAAGACCCTCTACTTTGAGCGTACCACTCGTGAAGCTGCTGGGACGTAAGTGTCTCGCGTGGACGCCGCTGCAGCTGCAGCTGGCCACTGCCAGACGCTCCCAACTGACCAGCTCCAGGGCGACAGCTACGACGGCGACCGCCACAACCCCAACTAGCGTACCACTCACTAAGCTGCTGGGGCGTGAGAGACTCGCGTGAACGTCGCTGGAGCTGCATCTGGCCACCGCAAGTAGCAGTAGTAGCAGCAGTAGCAGCAGCAGTAGCAGCAGCAGCAGCAGCAGCAGCAGCAGCAGCAGCAGCAGCAGCAGCAGCAGCAGCAGCAGCAGCAGCAGCAGCAGCAGCAGCAGTCTAGCAGTAGTAGTAGCGCAGGCAGGGCAGGCGCGGCAGGTAGGCAGGTAAGTGCTCACCAGTGGCGAGAAGGGCAGGCTCACAACGGCGGCGACGGCGGGGCCGCGACAGCTGCGGCAGAGCTGGACCGCGTCGGAGGAAGGGCAGGTCCGCGACAGCTGCTGCAGGGCGCGGATGTGACGGCGGCAGAAGGCTCCACGGCAGCTGCTGCAGGGCAGGGTCGCGACGGCTGCAGGAGGCTCCGCGGCAGGTGCTGCAGGGCGGGGCCGCGACTGCGGCAGGGCGCTCCGTGGCAGCTGCTGCAGGAGCGACGGCGGCGTCCAGGGGTAGCCGCGGCGCACGGGGCTGCAGCGCGCCACGCGAGCTGCAAACGCGGCGCGCGAAGCCGCCGCGGCGCACGGGGCTGCAGCGCGCCACGCGAGCTGCAAACGCGGCGCGCGAAGCCGCCGCGGGCTGCGCGAGGACGGCAGCCGCGGCGCGCGGGGCTGCAGCGCGACGTGCGGGCAGCGAACGCGACGCGCGGGGCAGCGAACTGGCGGGGCGGCGCCCTGGCCTAACGGGCCTGCAGGGGCGGCGCTCTGGCCTAGGGCAGCAGTGGGCAGTACGAGGGCTGCAGGACGGCGCGCGCAGCGCAGCACGTCACAAGGCAAGGCATGCAGGCAGGACAACACGTGGGGTAACACGGTAACCGCAACGGTAGGTGGGCCCGAAAAAAAAAAAAACGGTCCTACGGACCTAGTGCTCTGAAACCATGTCAGAATCAAGCAGCAGGAATGGATGAACTATGAAAGAGTTGGGGTACAAGTATGAAACCCTAAAAGGGGCTGTACCCCATATTGGCTACCCCACTACAGCCTACACATATATAACATGCATATACTTTGATGTCAAGATAAGGAGGTACTTAGGTTTAGGATGCCTAGGCTTAGGAGCCTAGGCAAGGAGGGTATCGAGTAGGTTGTGCCAAAGGATAGCGAGAATGGGGGGAATTCACTATAGGAAAAACAGAACATATAGGAGAAAGGAGGGGAGGTGCACCACCAACACAAGAAGCATATAGCTACACTAGGATCAACTGTAGGCAGGTATATAAATGTAACAATTACATTTCAACATTTGACACCATTACCGTACTTTGGTTGCAAAGCAGTGCTGCTGCTGCTGCATCAGGAGCTTTGGTTTGATGTTCCGTGACATTGGGTTTGGGTATGGGTTGGTTGGCATGTACTGCACACGGCGTTTGAGGTACGGTATGTCAATGTTTGAGGGAAGGGTAGTACGGTAGTACCTGTAGCAGGTGGCAGGGGGAGTGATGGTGGTTGGTGGCATTTGCTAGGTATGATGGTACAGTTTTCCCTGGGATTGAGTGAGAGAGCATGTGGCGTGATTGGATAGAGGACGCTTGCGCTGTTGTTTGTTTTAGTCTCATCTCATCGTCAAAATTATTGAATTTCCAGTCCAACCAGCCAGCCAATCATCAAGAGGCATATTGTAACAGACCCCCAAAGGCTGCTTTCAGACACACAGGCTGACATAACCAAGAGAGTTAGACAAGCTCAGTTGAACCAGCTTCACTACGAACAAGCTGCAGCTTGGAAGCATGAACAACCCATCCACACCACACCAACACACACTGCTCAGGCACCAAAACACTTCCTGCTTTTCCACTCTTTCCCTGCCTCTTCTCTTCGATTTTTGTGTCAACTGAAAATCCCACCCTGCTTTACCACTCACTCTCTGCCTGTCTCTCCAGCAGTGCCCAGTACTCTGCCTCTGCTTCCGGCGCCATCAGTTAACCTTTCAATCGAATCCTAAGTCACCGCGCTCCCTGCCTCTGTCTCTCTAGTGCTGTCTTGTACGCTGGGGCTATGGGTGGCTGCACTGGCGCTAGAGGCCGGTACGGCACTGCACTCTCTGTCTGTGCGTGAGAGTCGGAGTGAGAGTGAGGGTGTGAGTGTGAGTGTGTAGAGGGGAGGTTGAGCGGGTATGACTGGTCGGCGTCATAGCCTGAGAGATCGCCGCATGCTAGGAAGGGCACAAAGAGCCGATCCGGGCCGTCCAGTCCTGCAGACAGACAATCTGGGGTTGGGGGGAGGGAAGAATGAGAAGAAAGGGAGAGCAGAGGGGTATGAATGGGTGATCAGGGATAACCATGAAAGAATCTCTCTCACCCATGCCCCCTTTCTCTACCTCAACTCTCTAGTCCCCCTTTCCCCTTTTCCCCCGTTCCCACCTGAGTCAAGGGCAGCTGCTTTCCCGGCAGCGGTGGCGGCAGTGCCATGCAGCACTTCCCTCAGCCGCGACGGGTGGAACCCCTCTGGTGGGTGGTACCCCCGACACACCACAAAGGCCTCTGGTCATCCGCGTCACACGGGTGTGGTGGTGGGGTAAACAAAGGGTAGAAGAGGGAGGGGAAGGAGGGGAGAGAGGGGACGGAGGGGCGGGAGAGAGATGGTAGGAGATGGTGCAAGAGGGAAGTTGGAGTTTTAATAGGAGAGAGAGTGTGAGGTGGTCGAAGAGGGGGGGGAAAGACAAGACAAAAAGCTGGTACAGTAAGGGAGTGACAGGCAGGAGAGAGCGACCAAGTGGTGAGGTGAAAGCAGGAGAGCAAGAAAGCAGTGAAGCAGGACAGGAGATAGGGAAGAAAGCAAGCAGGACAACACGAGGGAAACAAGTTCAGAGGCACAACAAGAAGAATTTCCTTCTCATGTTGCACATGAGTACACATGAGTGAGTGCACACGAGTTGCACATGAGTGAGTTGCACACGATTGCGCAGCGCACCGATGGAAGAGTTGCGGCTGGACTTGGGCTTGGCGCAGGTGACATGGAAAAAGGAAAACACGCAGCTGGCAGCAAGTAAACGCCTTTTGAGACGTCTCAAAAGAGAGTGTGCAACACAACGCACCGATGGAGGAGTTGCGGCTGGACTTGGGCTTGGCGCAGGTGACATGGTGGAAGAAGACGCGCAGCTGGCAGTAGAGCAGGCTTATGTCCTTGCCCCGGAATATCTTCGCCACAAACGAGCCCCCCGCCCGCAGCGTGTGCGTCACTATCACTAGCGCCTGCGGGCGGGCGGGGGGGGGGGGGAGCCGAGGAGGGAGGAGGAGAGGGGGGCAGGCACGAAGGCATGGGAGGAACGGGCATGAGTGACGGGCATGGGGGACGTTAAGGGCTTCAGGAGCAGGAACCATTTCAGGCCAGGTTGACATTGAAGAAACTATGGGGGGTTCGGAGCACGTGAGCTTATAGCACAGGTGAGGAGCAGCAGATGGGTAACGAACGGGCATGGAATAATGGAGCAGTGGTGCAGTGGAGCAGCTTACAGCGAGGATGAGCTGTGCTTGCACGAACTCATCTAAGTCATGGAGACCGGTGACTGCAGCACAGGGGAGAGGGGGGAGAAGGATGGCAGGCACAGAGTGGACTGAGAGGAAGAAGGGGAGATGAATGCAGAACATCTTTCATAGAGAGGAGAAGATGGGAGATGAATCAGAGAAGGGTGAAGGAGCATACAGACCATCAGGAGCTCCATCGCATATGATGAGATCCGCTTGACGGCCCTTGAAGTGATCTATGACCTGCCATGGCAGTTGCATGCATGCACATGCACACACATGCACACACATGCACACACATGCACACACATGCACACACATGCACACACATGCACACACATGCACACAGTCACTCACGCGAACACACACACGCACACACACACCCACACACAGTCACTCACGCACGCAGGCACACCCACACACACACACATGCACACACACACACTCACACACACACACGCACACACACACACACACACACTCACACACACAAACACACACACACACACACACACACGCAGGAGGGAAGATGAATGCAAAACATCTCCGACAGATCTGGCAGCATTCAAGACATCGCTTCTTGAGGCGCCTAAAAAATCATAAACCGTCCCATCCCTCCAGTCTTTGCAAAGCTGTCTCTCATGAAACCTGGTCTGGCCCTCACCAACTGAGCCGTGGCAGCACTTGTGATGTCCCCCTGAATCTGAATCACCCCTTCGATCGGAGCCATTGGTTGCAGATCAATGGCCACGATTAAAGGCAGCTCCGCTGCTGCTGCTGCTGCTGCTGCTGCTCCTGCACTGGCTCCTTCTGTCCCTGTCATCACCTCCGCTTCTGCATTCGCATTCCCTGTTCCTTCACTCCCTGCTTCCCCACCGCCCCCTCTGCCCCTTTCACCATCCCGGCCAAAATCCGCTCCGCTCTGCTGTTGCTCCTGTGCTGCTGTATCCTCCTCCCCTGGTGCTGCCGTTGCCGATGTTGCTGTTGCTGCTGGTGCTAGAGGTGGGGGCAGTGAAGGGGATTGTGCTACCGCTGATGCTCGTGTTGCAGTGGCTGCGTCCTCTGCAGCCTTTTTTGCTGGAAGGTACACACGGCGACTCAGCACCTGGAGAGAAGATAAGGCAGGGAGACGCGGAGGGACAATGTGGAAAACTGGCAATCCACGCATATGAGTGGAGGGACACAGAGTGAATTGGAGCCTACTTTTGAGTAAGCTAGGAATGCTTGATAAGTGGGCATCATGCATTTAATGGTTCTGATGGAAGAAAGGGGGGAGCAGGTAGGCAAGGGGCACGACTAGAGGGGGACAGGGGACGCCTGTGAGGGACGAACTGGCATTCAATGCAAGGAGGGGAAATGCAGGGGTGGAGAGGAGTGCAGAGCGGACGTGGAGAGGGAGTGAGGGGATGGAGAGGGAATGAGGGAATCGAGAGGGAGTAAGTGGGAGTGAGGGAGTGAGGGAATGAAGAGGGAGTGAGCGGAAGGGGAGAGGGAGGGAGGGGATGGAGAGCTGACCTGCGACCAGCTGCCCGGAGCGGCACAGAGGTCCACCACTCTAGACACACCTGCACGGCACAACAGGAGGCACATGCATGCACGGGTGGATCATAGAATCTGGCGACACTGACAGCCAATGGAAAACAAGCAATCCCCCGCGTGACGTACCGAACCCAACCAACCTGAACACCTGAAAGCCCTGTTCCAACCCTGAACCCTAAACCAGCAGCTTCCGTCGGATCTCATACCGCACCGATCCATATAAACAGTCTGGCTTAATTTCTATACCGCACCGCACTGTACCGTACCGTACCGTTGAGGATGTCGAACTCCTCGTCGATCTGCAGCAGCTTGAACGCGCTGCGGGCCCGCCAGCCTTCCTCCTTGGCCTTGCGGTAGTAAATGTCCTGCAGCCCGGGTCGCAACCACGGGAAAGACGGTTAAGCCTACGCGACGGCAGTGTTGTGTGCGTGCACGAGGAGAAAACGATACAACTGTAAGAGTGCATGACGGGCCAGTGATGGCTTAAGAGGGAGTGAAGATACGGTGAGTGAAAGACGGGGCGAGAGGACATTAGTGACATGCCATAAAGCGAACGGCTTACTCTTTTATCCTTGGACGTCCGACCCATGGCGTTTTGATGAACTAGGGCTTTAGAATATAGTAGTAACCCACTTACTCGCCTGTCGACCCGGAATGACAATCCTACGTACTCCACTGAAAGCACATTCCGTTGTACGCAACTTTCCAAAACATTGTCTATGTGCTTTGTTTCAGTTTGGGTACATATTTTTCGCTGGGCTTGTTGATATTGTGCTTCAAGCGCAATTTGCGAATTCCACCTTCGATTCGTCTCGTCGTTGACCAACGAGCGCTTGGGCTTCTGAAAAGGCACCTCCAGAAGTGACCCCCCCGTTAGCATTCCCGGGTGCGGCAGCGCCATTGCCACGTCATCCAACCACACGAGCGTGGTGCTTGTCTGTTGTGTTGTGACTGCTGGTTGGCCCTTCAGCCGGTATCTCCGCTGACATCAGCAGTGACATCATTGGTGACATCACAGCTGACATCACCTCGCGATCCTCCCATCCATCCAATCACTCCCTGCTTCACGGCCTGCTAGCCCCCACCATTCACGACACCGTCAAGCCTCATCCATCCATTCGCATACACATATTAGCAACTTTGCGAACGACGAAAGTCGGTAACTATGTCGGCATCGTTTTCGTCAGAACTCCATGAATATGCTTCCCTGTTTCGCCCGAAGCAGCTAGACCACCCCTTCGTGCGTTTCTCCATTCATCCTCCTAGGCTCCTACACTCCCTTCCCCTCATCTATTCATGCTTGCAAAGCTCAAGTTCGTGTGCTTCTCTCTACCCTACCTGATTTTTGCGGCTTGGCCTTGAAGTCTCATGACGCTTTCAACTGAATTTAGCAGATTTTTGTTACCTGCTCTTTCGACGAAGTTTGCCTCAAGATACCAACGTATGGCGACGATTTTCCGCTGTCGGCGGAATTAGGCTCCTCATTACTCAGCAGACCTAGGGTTGTTTAGTTGTTGTCTAGTATCGCGTTAATTAACGAAGTTTTCGTGCATCGTCACATATCCCGCGGTACGACACAATCCCGATTCGCACAGACCTTGAGGGAAGCCATGGCGACGAGCCCGACTCGCACAGAAACGTCAAACGAAGGCGACTTATATAAGGTGATTTACACATTTAATTAGCTTGCTTGACCGTCTGTAGATTTCATTCGTCGGCTTACTCCGCTAAGAATAAATGGTTCTTCTAATTGCTTGCTTCATGGATTTACAATCTTTGTGTTTTATGGCGTGTAATGCTTGCAGTGCTTCGCTCCCGATGAAATTGCCCTTATTTGGGATCGGCCATTCCGCTTGTATCAATACCTCTCCATGACCGCTGTTCTTCCCTCCTCACCCACACACCCTTTTCCCCTTCCACCGCGTCTCCCGCTTCCCGTCAGCGCGGCGGAAAGGATGGCAGTCGGGGAGGTGGCGGAAGCAGCTCGGATCAGGACCTTACCAAGGGCTCTGACCCCAAGGTGAGGAGACGAGCGCAAGGTGAGGAGACGAGCGCAAGGTGAGGCGACGAGCGCAAGGTGAGGCGACGAGCGCAAGGTGAGGCGACGAGCGCAAGGTGAGGCGACGAGCGCAAGGTGAGGCGACGAGCGCAAGGTGAGGCGACGAGCGCAAGGTGAGGCGACGACCCCAAGGTGTTAATCGGCTTCTTTGTGCTTCTTTGCTATCCCTGTCCCAACCTACTCCCAACTAACCTCTTCAAAGACACCGCCCTGTGCCCCGCTTCCTCTCCCTCCCATCTCCTCTCCACCGCTTTCTTTCCAGCCGTCGATTCATGCATGTGCCTGTGCTTGTGTTGTGTGCGTGTGTCTGTGGCTGTGGCTGTCACCTCCCTGCTCCGCCTCGTCCCCCCTGTGCCCCTGCTCAGCAGTCTCTAAGGCGCCTGGTGCAGAACCGAGAGGCCGCCAGGAAGAGCCGACTGCGCAAAAAGGTGCCTTCCTGCATGCTTCCATCCATTCCATTCGCCTGCAACCCCCCCTCCCCCCGCTTTCTCCCCCTCCCTTCAAACCCCAGCACGCGTCGATTGTTGGTAACTCACTGCTGCTTCCATGCATTACTTTAATCTATAGCACCCTTCTCACAAAAATCTCACTGCTTTCCTCGCACCTGTGCTTTCTCTCCCTCGTCGCGGAGCCTTCCGTCCCAGCCGTCCTCCCTCTCCCCCATCCTCCCTTGCACGCGCCCCCCGACCTCCCTCACTCAATCCCGCCTTTCCATAGCTGTGTCCCGTCCCCTCCAACTCTCACTCATGGCATGAGTGTGTGCTTCTGTGTGGCAGGCGTATGTGCAACAGCTGGAGACGAGTCGCAACAGAATGCAGCAGCTGGAGCAGGAGCTCGCTCGCGTGCGCAACCAGGTGCTTATACACACTCCATGCGCCATGCGCCATGCTCCATGCGCCATGCGCCATGCGTCATGCTCCATGTTCCATGCGCCATGCGCCATGCTCCATGTTCCATGCGCCATGCTCCATGCGCCATGCACAAGAAGCCATGGTTGCTTCCTCTAGTCGCTTCGGACAATCCAAGCCAAGCAAACGTTTGTACCTCGTCCTCTCTTGCCCCTCCTTCCACTCGCTGTCCTCCAATCTCCTCCCATGCTTGCTCTTCTTCTGTCTCGCTCTCTACCCCTTCACCCTTGCTCGTCGCCTTCAGGTGGCGGTGCAGGGAAGCAGCGCGGACCAGTCTCTGTCGCTGTCAGCAGCGGGACAAGGGGGGGCTGGTGCAGTGGCGGTCAACCCTAATGTCAACCCAGGTGTGTGCCTGTGTGCCTGTGATTTGAGCTCGCGTATTCAGGTAAAGGAACTTTCTTTCAAGCCGTTTTTGGGACTGAGTGTTTCCTGTCAGTCTGAATAGGCTTTGGTTCTTCGGGTTGTTTCGCAGAAGAGTGGTTTTGACCGGTGCAAATGCTCAATTGCATGGTCTAGTCCAGTACAGAGCTGCTTGATATTGAAACAAGTGCATTGGTTGGTTGAAAGTTGCAACATCCCCACTTGTTCAGTCTGCTGGGTTCCGGAACTTGGAGGAGGTTGCTCTGAGATCCAGGAGTGTCAGGGTGCTGCTTGGCAAGCTTTTGCTGCTCCCATAGACAAGCTAGTGTTCAACCGCTCCCAACCCTTCCTCGGTCCCTCCCCACTATCTGTGTACGTGCGTGCGTGTGTGTGAGTGAACGAGAGCAGGCGCTGCGGCGTTTGACATGGAATATGCACGGTGGGTGGAGGAGCAGCACCGCATGATGTGCGAGCTCAGATCCGCTCTGCAGTCCCGCCTTGGCGACCAGGAACTACGCGTCCTTGTATGACCCACACCCGCCCTCTGCTGCTGTGCCACATCTGTTACTGCCTGCCAGTGCTCTGCTTTGCCTGCCCCGCTTGCTTCGTCTCCATTTCCAACCCTTTCCTTGAGCCTCTCCAGCTCTTTGCTGCTCCTCCCCCCCTCTCTCCTATCTCCTCTGCCCTCTCTCCCTTCTTCCCTATCCTCTCTCGCATCCTCTCCCCCTGCTGCTGTCCCCTGGTTGGCAGGTGGAGGCGATAATGGCGCACTACGACGAGCTGTTCAGGGTGAAACCACACCTGGCCAATTCCTGCTGCTCCTCTCTCTTCCCGCTCCCCCTCGCCTGCGTCTCCCCCACCAGGTGGAGGCAATAATGGCGCACTACGACGAGCTGTTCCGGGTGAAGGCACGTCATGACTTGTTCCCGCTGCTCCACTCCCTCCCTCCCCACCTCATCACCCCTCCCCCCACCGCCCCCCCACCAGGTGGAGGCGATAATGGCGCACTACGACGAGCTGTTCCGGGTGAAGGCGGTGGCGGCCAAGGCGGACGTGTTTCATCTCATCAGCGGCATGTGGAAGACGCCTGCCGAGCGCTGCTTCCTCTGGATGGGCGGCTTCAGACCCTCCGAGCTCCTCAAGGTCGCCTCCCACACTGCACTGCACCCCCTCGCCTCCACCTTGCTTCGGTTCATTCCACCCTCCTGCTCTCCCTGTACCTTGCACCTATGCGTCCTCCCTCCCTTCCTCTCTCCGCATCCCTCACTCCCCCTCCCGCTCTCCCCATCCCTTACTCCCTATCCCTCACTCCCTTACACCTTCACCTGCTTCTTCCTGCCCCATGCCTCTCCTCTCCCACCAGGTGCTGATACCGCAGATAGAGCCATTGACGGAGCAGCAGCTGATGGGCATATGCAACCTACAGCAGTCGTCGCAGCAGGCAGAGGACGCGCTCTCCCAGGGCATGGAGGCGCTGCAGCAGTCCCTCGCTGACACGCTCAGTGCGGGGTCGCTGGGGGCGGCCAGCAACGTGGCAAACTACATGGGACAGATGGCCATGGCCATGGGCAAACTCAGCACTCTCGAGTCGTTTGTCAAGCAGGTCCGTGTGGGTGGGGTGGGGCAGGTATATGAGTCGGCTCAAGAAGTGGGGTTACTGGGAGTTGCTAGCCAGAAACGTGGCGAATTACATGGGGCAGATGGCCATGGCCATGGGCAAGCTCAGCACGCTTGAGTCGGTTGTCAAGCAGGTGCGCTGCGCACGTGCAGGGCAGGCATGGCAGCCCTATTTCTCATCGCCCACCACTTCGTTTCTCCTGCTGAACTACCGCCGCCCGTGCCCTCCCTTCCTCTCTCCACTGTCTCAGTTTCTCACCTCCTTCTCTATCAATCCCTCACTCCCCACTCCTCCCCCACCCCAATCCTCCCACGCGCTCCCTCATCATTCCCACCAGGCGGACAGCTTGCGGCAGCAGACGCTGCAGCAGATGCACAGGATACTGACCACACGGCAGGCAGCCAGGGGTCTCCTAGCTATGGGGGACTACTTTGCCCGCCTGCGCGCCCTCAGCTCGCTCTGGGCCGCCCGTCCCCGCGACCAGTGACGCTCCTTCTGGGCTGCCCGCCCTTGAGTAACTTCTAGGCCTTTAGACTTACTATGACAACCAGCAACGGGTCAGTTCAGTGCTGCATGGAAGATGGCGATTCGGATTACCATGAGTGTGGAGAGCTGGAGTGGAGCCATGGCTGCAGGCCAGGGTACCTACATAACATTCAGCAACAGGGTTTCACTGATGTTGCACCGTCAAGAGTGGTTGCAGCTGCTGCAGATGGTTGAAATGCTATTGACTTGACTGCTGGCCTTTCCAGTCCTCCTGTCCTTTCCTTGTGCGCTATATATTTCTCCCAGACAAAGCAGCTTTATTGCCTGCTGCTCCTAGTTATGTGTGACATTTAGCATGTTGGTCTGGTCTGTACATAGATAGGTGAATCATTAGTCAATAAAAGAGTCAATAGCAGCAGTCCGACATGTGTCTTCTAAAAGGTGTTTGTACTGTTTCATGCTTCCCATTAGGGCCTTAAGTTTTTTTTTTAGGATAAACAAAAAAAAAAACACAACAAGATTCGACGTTCACGTCGGATGGGTTGCGTAGAATTGTATCCTCGTATAAGACATCATTATGGAACATATTATATTTTAATTTTGAAAAGCAAATTATAATGTTTGTTCTATTTATTTAAAATGGAACAATCTTCATAATTCATTTTTTTATAAAAATAATGTCATTATGTAGATTTTTGTACTCTTGAAATACTTTTGCGTATTAACAGGGAAAAATCTGGACAATCAATGTAATTTTGTGATTATAATAGACAATGTTTTTATATCCATCTGATTTAAAGTGCACTCACAGTTTACTATAAATGCACTTTGCAATGAGAATGAGTGTATGTTTTCCTTTCACACCTGTCAACTCGAATTCGATGCTCGTCTCGTCTTGCTTCTTGGTTCTTGGTCTACGAGCACCTGTCTTCTTGGTCTTCTTGGTTCTTGCTCTTAGTATGCTATGCACTTTACTCCCCACCCAAAGTGCTTCTCCCTCCAAACCCACCCATTCCCAATCCCGCAGTCGCGACTTACCTACCGTCTAGCTATCCCTTACTCCCTTCCGTCGCCTCTCCCTCTCACCCCGCCGTCGCGCTCCCTCCCATCCCGCCATCGCCCCTCCCTCCTTCCCAGCCGCCGTCGCTGCTCCCTCCCATCCCGCCGCCGCCTCTCCCTCCTCCCCGCCGCCGCCTCTCACTCCTCCCCGCCGTCGCCTCTCCCTCCTCCCCGCCGTCGCCTCTCCCTCCTCCCCGCCGTCGCCTCTCCCTCCTCCCCGCCGTCGCCTCTCCCTCCTCTCCGCCGTCGCCTCTCCCTCCTCTCCGCCGTCGCCTCTCCCTCCTCTCCGCCGTCGCCTCTCCTTCCCTCCCCGCCGTCGCCTCTCCTTCCCTCCCCGCCATCGCCTCTCCTTCCCTCCCCGCCGTCGCCTCTCCTTCCCTCCCCGCCGTCGCCTCCGGCGACAAGTGTACGGGCGCAAGCGCGGGTTGGTGCGTGCGCGCGGGTTGGTGCGCGGAGCGCGGGTTGGTGCGCGGAGCACGGGTTGGTGCGCGGAGCGCGGGTTGGTGCGCCAGCGCATGTTGTTTTCTGAGCCACCGTGGATATTGGGTGCGTTCCTGGTCCTTTCATCCACCCTTCCCCCTCTGTTTTTTTCTCTCTTTCCTTTTTGCTTCTTCGTAAATTGTGTGTGCTGATTGGTCTCTTCTTGCATTGCAATTTCATTTGAAACGGATCGCGAGGGAGTGTGTGTGCACAGGAGCGAACGCGCGGGAGTGAGCGCGTGAGAGTGCGCGCGAGAGAGCGCGCGAGAGAGCATGTGAGAGAGCGCACGAGAGAGCGCGTGAGGGAGCGCGTGAGGGAACGCTTGAGAGAGCGCGTGAGGGAGCGCGTGAGAGAGCGCGTGAGAGAGCGCGTGAGAGAGCGCGAGAGAGAGCGCGTGAGAGAGCGCGTGAGAGAGCGCGTGAGAGAGCGTGAGAGAGCGCGTAAGAGAGCGCGTGAGAGAGCGTTTGAGAGAGCGCGTGAGAGAGCGCGTGAGGGAGCGCGTGAGAGAGTGCATGAGAGAGTGCGTGCGAGAGCGCGTGATTGTGCGCGTGAGAGTGCGCGTGAGAGGCGCGTGAGAGAGCGTGTGAGAGAGCGCGTGAGAGAGCGCGTGAGAGTGCGCGTGAGAGAGCGCGTAAGGGTGCGCGTTAGTGAGCGCGTGAGGGCACACGTGAGAGAGCGCATGAGAGAGCGCGTGAGAGCGCGTCAGAGAGCGCGTGGCAGAGCGTGTGGGAGAGCACGTGAGAGAGCGGGTGAGAGAGCGTATGAGAGAGCGCGTGAGTGAGGGCGTGAGTGAGGGCGTGAGTGTGTGCGTGAGAGAGCTTGTGAGAGAGCGCGTGAGAGAGCGCGTGAGAGAGCGCATGAGAGAGCACGTGAGGGAGCGCATGAGGGAACGCTTGAGAGAGCGCGTGAGAGAGCGCGTGAGAGAGCGTGTGAGGGAGCGCGTGAGAGAGTGCATGAGATAGTGCGTGCGAGAGCGCGTGATTGTGCGCGTGAGAGTGCGCGTGAGAGGCGCGTGAGAGAGCATGTGAGAGAGCGCGTGAGAGTGCGCGTGAGAGAGCGCGTAAGGGTGCGCGTTAGTGAGCGCGTGAGGGCACACGTGAAAGAGCGCATGAGAGAGCGCGTGAGAGCACGTAAGGGAGCGCGTGGCAGAGCGTGTGGGAGAGCACGTGAGAGAGCGTGTGAGAGAACGTGTGAGAGAGCGCGTGAGTGAGGGCGTGAGTGAGGGCGTGAGTGTGCGCGTGAGAGAGCGTGTGAGAGAGCGCGTGAGAGAGCGCGTGAGGGAGCGCGTGAGGAAACGCTTGAGAGAGCGCGTGAGAGAGCGCGTGAGAGAGCGCGATAGAGAACGCGTGTGAGAGCGCGTGAGAGAGCGCGTGAGAGAGCGCGTGAGGGAGCGCGTGAAAGAGCGCGTGAGAGAGCGCGTGAGAGAGCGCGAGAGGGAGCGTGTGAGAGAGCGCGTGAGAGAGCGCTTGAGAGAGCGTGAGAGAGCGCGTGAGGGAGCGCGTGAGAGAGCGTTTGAGAGAGCGTGTGAGAGAGCGCGTGAGGGAGCGCGTGAGATAGTGCATGAGAGAGTGCGTGCGAGAGCGCGTGATTGTGCGCGTGAGAGTGCGCGTGAGAGGTGCGTGAGAGAGCGTGTGAGAGAGCGCGTGAGAGAGCGCGTGAGAGTGCGTGTGAGAGAGCGTGTAAGGGTGCGCGTTAGTGAGCGCGTGAGGGCACACGTGAGAGAGCGCATGAGAGAGCGCGTGAGAGCGCGTAAGAGAGCGTGTGGCAGAGCGTGTGGGAGAGCACGTGAGAGAGCGTGTGAGAGAGCGTATGAGAGAGCGCGTGAGTGAGGGCGTGAGTGTGTGCGTGAGAGAGCGTGTGAGAGAGCGCGTGAGAGAGCGCGTGAGAGAGCGCATGAGAGAGCGCGTGAGGGAGCGCGTGAGGGAACGCTTGAGAGAGTGCATGAGAGAGCGCGTGAGAGAGCGCGATAGAGAACGCGTGTGAGACCGCGTGAGAGAGCGTATGAGAGAGCGCGCGAGAGAGCGCGTGAGAGAGCGTGTGAGAGAGCGCGTGAGAGAGCACGCGAGAGAACGCATGAGAGAGCGCGTGAGAGAGCGCGTGAGAGAGCACATGAGAGAGGCATGGGAGAGCGTGTGGGAGAGCACGTGAGAGAGAGTGTGAGAGAGCGCATGAGTGTGCGCGTGAGTGAGGGCGTGTGAGTGTGCGCGTGGGAGAGCGTGTGAGAGAGCGCGTGAGAGAGCGCGTGAGAGAGCGCATGAGAGAGCGTGTGAGAGAGCGCATGAGAGAGCGCGCGAGAGAACGCATGAGAGAGCGCGTGAGAGAGCGCGTGAGAGTGGCATGGGAGAGCGTGTGGGAGAGCACGTGAGAGAGAGTGTGAGAGAGCGCATGAGTGTGCGCGTGAGTGAGGGCGTGAGTGTGCGCGTGGGAGAGCGTGTGAAAGAGCGCGTGAGAGAGCGAGTGAGAGAGCGCGTGAGAGAGCGCGAGAGAGAGTGCGAGAGAGAGCACGTGAGAGAGCGCGTGAGGGAGCGCGTGAGAGATCGCGTGATAGAGCGCGTGAGAGAGCGCGTGAGAGAGTGCGTGGGAGAACGCGTGCGAGAGCGCGTGAGAGAGCGTGTGAGGGAGCGCATGAGAGAGTGCGAGAGAGCGCGTGAGAGAGCGCGTAAGAGAGCGCGTGAGAGAGCGCGTGAGAGAGCGCGGGACAGAGCGTGTGAAAGAGCGTGCGAGAGAGCGCACGAGAGTGCGCGTGAGAGCGCATGGGAGAGCGCGTGAGAGAGCGCGTGAGAGAGTGCGTGAGAGAGCGCGTGAGAGAGCGCGTAAGAGAGCGCGTGAGAGAGCGCATGAGAGAGCGCGTGAGAGAGTGCGTGAGAGAGTGCGTGAGGGAGCAAGTGAGGGAGCGCGTGGGAAAGCGCGTGAAAGAGCGCAGGAGAGTGCGCGAGAGAGTGCGCGAGAGAGCGCGCGAGTGTGCGCGTGAGTGTGCGCGTGAGAGTGCGCGTGAGTGTGCGCGTGAGAGTGCGCGTGAGAGCGCGCGAGGGAGCGCGCGAGGGAGCGCGTGAGAGAGCGCGTGAGGGAGCGCGTGAGGGAGCGAGTGAGGGAGCGAGTGAGAGAGCGCGTGAGAGAGCGCGTGAGAGAGCGCATGAGAGAGCGCGTGCGAGAGCGTGTGATTTTGTCTAAGAAAGTTGAGAGTATTTTTGCGAGATTTAGTACAAGAGTGAGTGCGAACGTGAGGATGAAGCTGAACGCAAGGGTGGCTGCAAGGTATTGCATCATTCCGGCGTAGTATTTGTGGTGCCACGGCTGGTACCAATTTGCATTGCTCGTCTTTGATTGATCTACATGTTTTTATTGTTCTTATTTCGTTTATGATGCATGTGTGAGCTGCATTCTCTGCTTTTGTTTTCTTGTGTGCAATTCTGTGAGGTGTACTCTCTGTTTTTGCTTTCTGCAGGTGAGTTACGTTTCCTGCTTGACCTCCTCGCAGGGCACGTGAGTTGCATTATATGTTTTACTGCTTTTTTGTACACATGTGGGAACATTCTCTGCATTGCCTTTTTTCTTGTGCAGGGTGTGTAATCTTCATTCTCTGGTTTTGCTTTGTGCAGGGCGCGTGAGCTGCATGCTTTGATTTTGTTCGGCGGAGAAGGGAGATGAGGGAGGGGGTGGGAGGGAGTAGAGGGAGGGAGGAAAAGAGGGGTGTAGGAGGGTAAAGAGGGGATAGGCTAGTGTGTGACTCTTTGTTATGCTTGTTTGCTCTCTCATTGTATGTAAGCGTGTGTATATATATGTGTGTCAGTGCATGCGTGTGTGTGTGTATGTGTGTGTGTGTGTGTGTGTGTGTGTGTATGTGTGTGTGTGTGTGTGTATGTGTGTGTGTGTGTGTGTGTGTCTGTGTGTCTCTGTGTGTGTGTGTGTGTGTGTGCGTATGTGTGTGTGTGTGTATGTGTGTGTGCGTGCGTGCGTGCGTGCGTGCGTGCGTGCGTGCGTGCGTGCGTGCGTGCGTGCGTGCGTGCGTGCGTGCGTGCGTGCGTGCGTGCGTGCGTGCGTGCGTGCGTGCGTGCGTGCGTGCGTGCGTGCGTGCGTGCGTGCGTGCGTGCGTGCGTGCGTGCGTGCGTGCGTGCGTGCGTGCGTGCGTGCGTGCGTGCGTGTGCGTGTGTGTGTGTGTGTGTGTGTGTGTGATCGCAATCAGCGAGATTCTGCACGTGCAGATCGCGACCGCGATTCTGCACGTGCAAGTCGCGAGCGGGATCCTGCGCGTGGCGAGCGTCAGATTCGGGAGCCAGCACGCGAGGATCACCGCCCCGATTCTGCAAATCGGCACGCGAATCAGGGCGAGCAGCGAGATCCGCAGAATCCGGCAGCTGGGATTGCAGAAATCGCGGAAATCATTGCTTGCCTTGACCCCGCCAGCCAGCAGAATCTGAGGCGAATGTTCACTGAAACTGGCGGCGAACGCGTTATGGCGCGATCTAGTGCTTCTACAGGGCGCCGTGCACCCGAAAATTATTCGGCGCGCTACACTGGAAACAACACCGGAGCGGCAGCAAATAATAACGACGCAATCGGACACGTGATCGGCCTTCTCGCGGCGCTTCAGCGCGGCAACAACGGTGACCCTGCAGCAACTGCTGATCCTGTTCGTCCAGCTGCCGCAGCAGCAGGAGCCCGTCCCCGCGCTCCCCCTCCTCCTCTTAATCCCGAGGGTGACGACGACGACGACCACGACAACGTAGAGAACCTCGACGAAGGTAATACCACTCGTCTCAAGGCCAATCCAGCAACCCTTAGTCTTGCCCCCATACCTCCTGCACGTCCTCAGTTACGCTCCTCACTCGTAAAAAACGACGGCATTCGTACTCAACTTTTTAGCTTTGAACGCATTCAGGCTATCGCTCGTCATGCCTTTTCGATTTTACCTACTCACGGTGGCGAGCAACTTGCTGATTACCTTCAGCAAATCATTGACGAGGCTGAAGAAAAGATTCATTTTCTATTTACCGCGAATCAGCGCAGTTTTGAAGTAGCCAACATGGGTTTAAAGATTAAGTACGGCGAGGTGGTGGAAGATAAAAACGTTAAGGCCGCCACCCAGATTGTGGCGGCAAGCAAAAAAAGGCCACGTGGGCCCACATCCACTTCCCGTCCAAGCCCTGCACCTCGTAATCGAGGCCAAGGGGAACGCCATTGGACCTGGCGTAGGGATGGCGATGGGCGTTGCTTCTATTGCCGAGAGCCCGGTCACGGAATAGCCGATTCTCCACATCGGGGCCAAGGGGCCAATCAACCTTCTAAGATTGTTTAAGATTCGTGTTTGGTTGTCTTCTTTATTATAAAGACTATTTGGACTTATCCTTCGGTCTAAACATTCCCGATATACATCAATGTCAAGAGTTGATTATTCTAAAAAAAAAAAAAAAAAAAAAAAAAAAAAAAAACCAACAACAACAACAAACAAACAAACAAAAAGATCATCATAACTGAGAGCGTGATTATCCGAAACGCCCCTAAACTTTGCTCTTCAAAAAGGAGACAAACAGAGAGAAGAGAGAGAAAGGAAAGAGACAAACAGAGAGAAGAGAGAGACCGATTGAAAGAGGATGACGGATTTTACAATTTGGTGACACATGGGTGGGCATGTGAGCCCTACACGTCAGCCATGGTCATAGGAGGGTATCTCCCCACAACGCGTTGCGTTTAACATGACTAGATAATAATATAACATGCTAATTCAATCCTGTGCGTGCCCTTATCCATGCCCCATCAGAATTTGGCTTCATGCCACACATCAAGACACAAGGTGATGTGCGACACATGCGAGGGCGCTTGCGGGAACGTTCCACATGGTGGAACTCCTGGTGCACGAGTCGCTTCATCTTGTCAGTCGTCGTGTCGGGGTATCGTCTGCCGTGGCGGTCACACGAACCTACCCCGCACCATGCCCCGAACCACTCGGGAGCGTTGCAACACACGGCTTTCGCGGTCGAAGCAGTGGCTGACCTACTTGCTTCAGGCGCAGCCCGTATCGTCCCAGCAGAGGAGCCGCTCACCTGCGTTAGCCCACTAAACGTGGTTGTTCAGCCTTCTAAGAAACGGCTTATACTAGACCTACGGCATGTGAATTCATTCATTTCCATCCCTCGATTCCGGTACGAAGGACTCAACAGGGTCCCCGACCTAGTCCATAAGGGCGCTTGGTTGTTCACTATAGACCTCAAGTCGGGTTATCACCACGTAGACATTCACCCGTCATTTTGGCGGTTCCTCGGATTTTCCCTGCAAGGCCAACGATACCAGTTTCTGTCACTACCCTTCGGGCTTGCTACAGCGCCATTCGTGTTCACACAGCTAATTAAGCAGCTGGCAAAGCGTTGGCGTAGCAGGGGGATCCGATTAATTCCTTACGTCGACGACCTTTTGTTCATATGTGCTACGCAAACCGAAGCGTTCCGGACCCGCACCATCGTTCTGGACGACCTCGGGTCCGCCGGTTTTATCGTCAACACGGACAAATCACAGCTCGAGCCGTCGCAACGTCTTAAATTCCTTGGCCTCATATTGGATACTAGTACTACATCCTTCTCCGTCGACGTTACTCGTCGAGATCGGTTGTTCGACGAGCTCGAGCAAATTTGTCAGATCAGCACACAAGGGCGTCGCATCCCGGTTCGACGCGCAGCTAGGGTGACAGGCATGCTAGCTTCCATGGCTATGGCACTTGGTACCATAGCCCGTGCGTTCTCACATAACCCGATCTCTCAAATCAGTGCGTGTCAATCCTGGGGAGACTCCATCCGTTTGACGTCGGACTCGATCGACGAGTTGCGATTCTGGCTGACACAGTTCGACGTTTTCAATGGTTCCTGCTTCCACAACCCAAATGTATATGACATCGTCATGTACGTCGATGCAAGCGACCATGCTTGGGGAAGCTGTTATTCCACGCCAGATGGCCGTGTTGGCTCACAGTCCTTCCGATTTCCCCAGTCACTATCAGTCGCATCGAGCATGCTTCGCGAACTCGCCGGAATTCTCTGGGCACTGTCGACCTTTAGCCGCGAGATCCAACGATCGCACGTCCTAC